AGTCAAGCCAGAAAAAATTCAACTGAATCATTCATAAAGTTCGAGGCTGTCCATAAGAATGGAAGATTAGAATGTGTCACATCATAGGGATTCTGTTTATGCAGGGGATTCTACTCCCTTTCCCTCCATGACAGCTTATTATATGAACCACTGGGAAAATCTGAAAGGGTTAAATAAACCCCATGCTGTATCTCCCTCAGCTACCCGGGGGAAGTGCACAGTAAGTAGGTGCTGATGGGAGAGACACCTTCCCACTGAGGGTATCAGGGACTGGTCAGCATTCGCAGGTGGACAGTGACAGCCAACAGAGGGTTGCAGCCATGTAAGGAGACCCTTGCCCTTTTTCTTCCCATCCTTCTATGTTTCCAGTCTAGAAGATGAAACTAGAAAGTACATTAGGAGACATAAATAGCAGATCATTGTTACTTTCAACTCCAAGCTTCACAGTTGATATGGGGGAAAAGTTAAATGTGAAACTAGAGTTTTAAACTACTTTATATTTTTATGGCTGAAGATGACTGTAAATCTGTGAGATCTGCCTAAGATACAGAAGAGATGTGACAAGGATTAGAGAAAAATCAAATTGTTTCTAGTGCCTGATAAGATTAAAATTGTTCAATAAAATGATTATAAATAGGTATACACACTATTGACTTTTTTGCATCTGTGTTTTATAACTTACGAAAAAATTTACAGACATGTTAGTATATATTTTTGAATAAAAATGCCTGACATTGTTTTCTAAACTGTAAATTTATGAAAATTCAGTGTTTTATTAATTATATTTTCAAATATTTGTTTACATATATATCATTGTCTTAAAAATAGAATAAGAGTTACTAAATATTTAAAGCTACCTTTATTTGCTCCAAAATTGAATGCTTTTTTTCTCTTTATGGTGCTTTTCCATGACTGATTACAAGTAACAAAAATAAGAGAATTTTTTACTTTTTGTCTAATTTATCCCATAGACACAAGATATTGTATTTTGAACCTTGGGATCAATTTCAATTCAGAAATATTCAATTTTGTGGACAGATTAAATTGTTAAATATTTACGTACTGTCATGTGTCATGTGCATTGCATATTTGTTATTGGTTCTATGTTGTTCTTATGTATGTTTTGCTCTCTTTGTTAGGGTTCTCCAGAGAAAGAAAGTCAGTAACCAATTATATGTATATTTATATTATGGAATTATATATATGGAATTATATTTATTATATGGAATTGGCTCACGCAATTATGGAGACTGGCAAGTACAAAATGTGCAGCATGGGCTGGCATGTTAAAACCATAGGGAAGAGCTGAGATATTGCAATTCAAGTCTGAAGGCCATCTGCTTTGGGTCTTTGAAGTCCCTCTCGCTTGTGGGTAGTCAGTGTTTTGTTCTATTCAGGCCTTCAACTTATTGGATGAGGATCATATTATGGAAGGCAGACTGTTTTTCTCAAAGTCCACTGATTGGAATGTCAATGTCATCCAAAAACACCCTCACAGAAACATTAAGAACAATGTTTAAGTTTGAACAAATATCTGAGCTGCATCATCCAGCCGTGTTGATATATTAAATCATTCTCTCTCTCCCCCCCTCCCTCTTTCTGTAATTTTTTACAATTTTGTTATTATACTTCCTAGAAGTCATATAATCCAACCAATAACTACTTCCAAAGGCTTTTGGGGCACATTATTTGCCACCTATTTAACTAAGGATCTAGCCATTCTTTAGCAATGATTTTAGAGTTGATAGACCAAAATATTGATGTCTTACTTACCCTTCTCTTTCACTGTAGTCATTTTATGTTAATCTATATGGATAAAATTTATATATTCAGGTCTCAGGTATAATATTGTTATGTTCAAAGCATTTAAATATAAATATGATATTGATATTTCCAAAGCTGTATCCTCTATAACTGTGTTCCTCTTCCTTAAAGCTATATCTGTTTACTTATCACATCCAACAAAAGTTTAGTATTTAAAACTCCTGCTGAGAGCTGTTCATATCTATGACTCACAGACTTACCATCATGCATCTATCCAAGCATGTCATATCTTGCCATGCTCAAACTATGTATCTGAATTGATTTTAACCCCAAACTTTTTACTTACAATGTTGAATTTGTCATTATTCCTTCTACTTCTCACTGGCTTTTTACTCCTTAAGCTTTTTTACTTTTGAATAGGTCACACTAGCTTGCCTCCACCTTCCCTCCCTCCCACCTTCCATTATTTCATTACAACAATAGAGACTTTTTAGGAAACACTGTGCTATAGTGCCCATCTCTAATCCAATGGAGATAACTTCGCTTATTTTTCTAAAATACCATTTGCTTTGTAATATGCTATTGGTTGCATGGAATATTTTATTTTCTCAGTGAAATATATTGTTATCTACATGAAAAAGCTAAAATTTACCCTGACATTGAAAACTTCCACACTTGAATCCCTTTAGTTCAAGTTCATTTCCTGTTATCCTCAAACTTCAATGACTTCTTCCAGCAAAAATGATCTTACTACTCTGACCAAATAACATGCTTATGCCAGCCTTCAAGCTTTTGTTCAAATGCTCTTGCCTGGCCCACCCTTTCTCCACTTGTCTCACATCCACATTCTTGCCCACTTCAGTACTCAGATGCACTCTGACTTCCTTTAGGTGCTCTTCTCTAACCCCACTACATCAAGCTGAGCTACCAATCTCTCTATACTCTTCAGTCTTTTAGTCATCTTATTTTCTTATTAAGTGAAGATGACATCTAACAAGTAATTATTTATAACTTATCTGTTCTTTGAGAAGGATTTCTATATACTTCTCACATGTAAATTTTCACGTTTCCAGTGTATTTTATAATATTCTCTCATTTGAGTCTCGAAACAACCTTTTTAGAGAGGAAAGATAGATACTACATCTTATTTGAAATGAGAATAATGAGTCTCAGAGAGATCAATACTCAGAGTTTACCAAGCAGTCATACTTTAGGTGACTCTTAATGATAAGGCTTTTAACGCAGGTCTTCTGACTTCTCCTTCCTTGCTCCTTCTCCATCCCTCTGGACTGGTATGCAGATCAAACAAATGATGTACATGAGTGGAAGCATTTTATAATTTTCATAGAGTTCCACAAATAAATGTTTTAAAATCTTCCCTTTATCTAAATAAAAGGAGAAAGGACTACACTTTGTGTCTTCAGTATTAAACTGTTGAACATATACTTATTTTGCAATGGTTGTATGAGGGTAAAAAGATGAAAATATATTGTTGGCCTTATATAGTTTAAAATCAAATGAAAAGACAGGCAATTAAGAAGCAAATACAGTACAGCATGTCAATGCTTATAATAGAGGGATGAATGACTGTAATACAGTGAGAAAATGGAACAGGCCTAAATTTATGTTAATTTAATTACAAATCTACAGATTTTGTTGTCAGAAGGGAAGAATAGAAAATAAGAGTAGGGGATTAAGAAGGCAAAAATGGAAATAGATGATGTTTACTCACAGCAGAAAGAAAGAACACTAACAATGAACATGTCACTTTGTGTCAGGAACTGTACTGAGCCATGACATATTTAATTATCACAAACTATTTTGAAATAGCATTATCACTGTCACCAAAACTGAAAGCTGAAGTTAAAGAACTTTCCCAAGATCATACAAATCACTTCAAGTTCATAGTAATGATCATAAACCATACTGAGTCAAATGTTAGATATAAATGCCTTATCTAAAGTGTTATTTTTATTTAAAAAGGCTTTCTTCCTTACCTTTTTCTTATTTTAAATATAGTATTCGTATAACCTGACATATCAATAGCCTAAAGTCCATTTTGGCACAACATGAACTTAGGTTGCACAAGAGAAAGAACAGACATATTTTAACAAATACAAAAAAAATACAGAAAAGCTTTGTTTTTTGTTATTACTATTTTAGAACATTTTGAGAACTTCTGCATACTTATGAAATCCATACTTATTCTACTATGACAGTTCAACCAGCCATTGATAATTAAATAATAAGCCAGATTTTTGCTAATAATATATCTTTGCTGTGCTTAAATGTTCAGTTGCCACTAACAACAATCTGATGTGGGTAGAACAAATACGATAGACTGAAATATAAAGATAGCCACAGTAGGATTAGCTGGGTGGTGATGGTTCACCTGCAAAATTACATATTATATCTTTATACTGTCAAATATTTAAGTAACAAATCAAGCAAGAGAGCCTGTGTCAGCCTCTTATTTGGAACCAGATGTACCCTAGATTTTTGTCACCATCTGCATATTTAATCTTTGATATGAAAACATCATATTAATTATAACTGCCCCATTAATTACAGCTGATGATTTAGGACATGTGGTGGTGAATATGTCTTTCAGTGCAGGTGGTATGATTCTGCTTCTTAGTAGTACTGTCATAGTCATGGCAAGCTGGACAATTTATTCGTAATTTACCTTGAGTGAAATTCATTTCATCAAGGATGTAGATACGTCAATTATTAGAGAAATCACACATATTTTTGTTGTAGTAATTTTTCTTTTCATAATAAATTTTTTCCTATGGAAGAAAAATGACTTTGCTGTAATTGGTTTCCACTATACTTTATTCTTTCATGCATACACCTGTCTTCTTATCTGCATGTCTTTAAGATTTAAGGCTACAGGACTGGCTGTAGTTCATAGTGATATTTGTGATGCACTATGGATTGAATTGAAATCCTTTGAATTCATTTAGGCTGCGACATTTTATGGCAGATTAATTAAAATGATTCGTAGTTACTTTAGCCTCAGCGGGATAAGTGAACATGTTTCTGAAGTGAAATTCTTCCTTCGTCCCCTGTCACTTCTTGCCTGATTTCTTTAGAAAACTCTACCATGTTTTCCTTACAAGTTATTTAATAATGCTATTTGGGCTGCATGTGAATATAATTTTGTATTTGTAGGAAAGGTAAAAAATCCTTGCCATATTAGGTGTTTGCAACTCAATATGTATTGTTTATTCAAGGCTCACAGTAGCTGACTGGGAATGGAATGCAGTATCACAAATGGAGCATGAGGCTCAGTTGTTATGATTTGATCCAACAGTGCTTCAGCCAGACCTTCTTGAAAAACAAAAAATGGAGAATACCTTATGCCATGGCACCAAGTTGCCAAGAAAATGACTCCTGGAGTGATTTCTTCCAAGACAGCTCACATTCACAGCAGGTAATGTCAAGTTCTTCAAGTATCTTCTCTCAGATTGGTGATTCCTTCCCATAAGAGTTGAAGAACATTTTAGCTTCAATTATAATCATTTTCGAAGATTGGGTCTGTTTTAGACAATTCAATCAGGATGTAAAATATATCTAATAGAATACAGTTTAAATAAATGAACAAAAAGTTAATTCCAGATTACTTTCTTAGCTGATTTTTCAGTTTGTTGTCTCTCCATTTTTTTCCTTTTTTTCTTCCCTCTCTAGATTGTTGGTCTCATTTGATTACTTTGCGGTGCATTAGCTGTAGAAACTGAAATTAGACAATGCTCAGACTTGTTAACAGTTCTAATAAAAGATGTGCTGAGAGTGAGGGAAAAGTCAGAGCTGAAGAAAAATTTAGAAAACACACACTCAATTTCATCATTTTGACATGAAATTTTAGATTTAGGTGTTGGATGAATATTTTGAAAGAGATCAACTTGGCAAAACATTTAATGAGTAAAATAAGATTTGATGTAATATTGAGTTTTCACATAATATTTCTATCAAAAATTGAGAGTTGAGCAGTGGATGTGCCAAATCTTAAAATGTCATGGGTGATAAAATAGCATATTTTTGTTTGCTTCAGTTGTTCATTTTTGGTTGGTACTGCAGTAATTACTACTCTTAATTTACATAGAATTATTGCTTATAATGGTTATATCATTGGCCCAGGTTTTAAGTGTTTGGTGGTAGTGTTTTAGTTTGATTTCAAACTAAAATTTTCTTTACATCTTACTTCATTTAAGATAATTAAAAAATAAGAATTATTAACATATACATTGTAGCTATATTTGCTTTTATTTTATCTTATGATTATACCCCCTTTTCAAGCAAAACAGATATTCACAGTGGTTTGTGATCAGACTTAAAGCTGCCAGTTGACTGTATTTCCACATCTTCAGATAGAAGTCAATCATACCCCATAACTCTTTAGGACTCTGGGTTGCATAAGTTGACATTAGATATTATTACATACTTTCTAATTTGATATCTTTCTGAGAGATACAACAGGGATTCTACAAAGCTGTAGACTAGTATGAGACCATTTTCAGTCCGAGACACCTTCCGTAGCTACAGGAGGAGACATTTCACTCTTGCGATTGTTGTACAGCTGTTTCTGGATGTGGGCTTCCAAATGCTAGATCTCTCATGAGGTTCACTTTATGATTCCTTGGGGCCTTCTACTGTTCAATATTCTGCCTGGCAGTCCTGCTGAAACACATTCTTTTCCACTGTTTTCTAGATGGCTCTTGTTAAAAGAAAAACTTCAGATACACATTTAACAGTTTATTTGAAAAAAATATTAATAAATGGGACAGAATGCAAAACTGAAAAATGTTCAAAGGGCTCAACAGCGTAAATTGTGAGCTTTTATAATTTGAACTGGAAGTAAAGTGAGGGACCTCTTTGACTGGCTATAAGTAGACATTTGCCTTATTTGGCTGTGTCCTGATAGGAGGTTCCAAATTATGTAACCAATGGGCTTATCAGCTTTCTGTGATTATCCAAAGCTTGATTCATTATGTTTGCAAAGAAAAAGAAACAAGCAACAGAATGAAGAGAAAAACTTCCATGTTAGCTTTTCATCACTGTGCCAAAATACCTTAGAATATGAACTTAAAGAAAGAATGATCTACTTCAGGTCCCAGTTTCAAAGGTTTCTGACCATGGTCATCTGGCTTCATTGTTTCTGGGCCCATGGTGAGGTAGAAACATAATGGTGCAGAGGATGCAGTGGAACAGGGCCGCTTATCTCATTGTGGTCAGAAAGCAGTGAGCCAGAGAAGGACCTAAGGACAGCAGGTATCCTTCAGAGCTACACCTGTAGTGAGCTTCTTCATTGCTTATGTCTCATCTCCTAAGAAGCCTGCTGAGCTATGAACTTGGGATCGACCCACTGATAAAATTAGAGCCCTTCCCATCTCTGAATCCTGGTGCACTGGGGATCAAAAACCCAACACATGAGTCCTGGGGGAATATCATACCCAAACCATGATAACAAACTATGGACTGGGAGAAAATATTTGCAAAGCATACATCTGCTGGGAGGATAATATACAAAATATATGAAGAACTCAACTCAAAGCAACAAAACTCAAAGCAAAGAAGAACTCAAACTCAAACTCAAATAATGTGGCAAAAATGGGTGAAAATAGGTGAGTTACATATTTCAAAACAACATGTTATACATAATAAATATATACTACTTTTTATCAATTTGAAAAATTAGCTATAAAGAACACCCCTAATTTAAATTTCAGTTTTAGGTTTTGAAACCATCGGCTTCTGCTTATTGCTTATTTTGCCTTAACACTGTGTATCCTAAAACCTCACGATTCTAGGCTTTTCTACCTACAGCTGCTGATGACTGAAGAGCTGGAGTCAGTCCAGTTGCCTAATGTAGTCTCCTTATGATTCATGTCAAATTTATGAACCCTTGGGTGCTAAGTTTGGGAAATGTAAAGTCTTCCTATGCAGCATGCCTTGCAGTTTCGATGTGTTTCTGCTGGCCATTGACATATTTTCTGCTTGGTGTTTTCACCACTCTCAGAAGACTGTTAACCAGTCTCCAGATTGGGGGTGACAAATGGGGCAACAGAATGGGAAAAATAACTGGCCCTAACGACCAATCTCACCCCATGGAGGAAAAGCAAAAGGCGTAGTTATTGTCTCTTTATTTAAATCTTCACAGGAAAAGTTACTTTTTGGGGGACTTATTTCAACTTTGAAATTCTAAGATCATGAATCAAGCTTCCTTTGACCATGACTGCCCTAAACTTAGCTTTTCTATTGATTGATTGACTGATTGATTTAATACTGGGTGCTATTTCAATAAATAACCCTGCATCAATTATTACTTTCTTGGGAACCAGAAAGGCGTCTCAGGTGGTGCTTTACTTACAAAATATATCTGCTTAAACAGATAAGTAAATTGATAGATATGCAATATGTGTACAATGAATTAAGTACTATTTTCCTACCTTTGATAACTGTGGGTAATAAAATGATTTCGTGAAAATAAAAAGACAACACTTGGTGACAGATATTTAAATCTTAGATGTAGACTCTGAGAATTAATTATCTTTGTTCCAGAACTGCCTTCATAATTCTGGTAATAAAATTAATACCAAATTTTTGTTTGTTAAAAAAAGAAGATCTCAGCATTCTGCCATCACTGAATCAGAATGAGAAAGACCAGCCTGGAATCTGCCCTTCAAGCAAATATCAGACATGATTTTTTCATGCAGATGAAGTTTGTAGAAAGACTGTGAATTTTTAATAACACACAGCAGGACAAAATCAGTATTTTTCTATGCCAAGTTGGTCTGGAGGATGGACTGGAGGAGAGAAAAAGTCTCCATGGCTTTTTGGAAGACCCTAGGCAGGAGGCCTTGAATTATCCATGTGAGGAGGAAGATTTGTTGGTGCCAACACAAAAGGAAATGAAAAGATGAGAACAAGAAACTTGACGAAACACTAGTGATCAGGACACAGAAGGAAGGAGTCTAAGGTGATTACACGCCTTCAAGCTAACAGGAACACTCTACCCTCTCTTCTCAGGGAACATAACTACAGAGGAGGAGAGTGGCAGCTGCTGCCTGTGAATTCATGCTGATCTGGGGGAGGCTTCATATCCCACACATGTGAGTCATGCTCTGTTTGGGAGTACGTGTACCCACAACAAAACCGTTAGCTCTGTGCGTGTGGCATCTCCCTATCCTACCCACGATGAAGAAGTGGTTTAGAGAAATGGGTAAAGCCTCCCTAATGCTAGTGCTGCCATGTTTAGAAGGAAGTTAAGCCACTGGGTTAAAACTTCACCTAGCTATTTCATTAGTAGATAATTTTATTTTGAAGCAACTTTTCAGTAATCATAGTATAATCTTCTATATTTATAAAATATTTTACAAAATTCTATATGTGGGCTATTACATCTCGTCTTCCAAGCAGCAATCTGAACTAGACTATCTGTGAGTCACTTTCTTACTCTATCCATGAGGAGAGTTTTGTCTTCTATTTCTTTAAATTCCATACAGCCCAGTGATCTCCTTTTCAACGGCTGGTCTTTAAGGCTCAAACCAAATGTCACCCCTTGAAAGTTTACTTAATTCCCTCTGACAATCTCTTATTTCTTTGAGTTTTTTAGAACTTTCTACTTACTTGTAATATTGTTCTTATTTCATTTCCATACAATCATTTTTTACTTCTCTCTTTCTGTCCTGACCATATCATGGTTCAAGACAGCACCTCTAAACCAAAGCTGCAGTTACATTTGTACCTAAGGATAGGGCCACCAGAGCTGAGAAAGGGTTAACACAGAGACTTGTCCCTCAAATTCTGCTCAGAGAGCCAAGGCATTCAATGGACATGATCAGGTTACTTTCTGCATTATACTTAATCCTCAAATCGGGGTTGGGAGAAGAATCTCAGACAGTTAAATGATTTATAGAAGAATGTAGTTAGAGAAAGGGAAGAGAGAACACAGCCCAGGTTGAAGGGCATTTCCTCTGACTTCAGTCTGTTTTATTTCACTCAAGAGATGGTTATTATAAGGTTCTGCTTTAGGATCCTTTTAGTTTATCTATTGTATTTTAAAATCTGCCTAATTGTGTTCTATGAGATGTGTTATTGATTAAGCATGTTATACAGAATTTTGACACAATTTTGCCTTCATCAGCTTAGGAAATACAATAAATGAACTTTATTAACTCTCTTTTCCCACAACAGTCTGCCTTGTGATTATCTGTGACATTTTACTTTTGTTCCAGATCTTTTTAGAAGGCATTCATGGCTGAATCAGTTTTATCTGCAGTTGAATTTAAAATTTGCTGGGACTGTTTTAAATGGATTGTGATAGTGCAAATAAGCAACATTTACCTGATTCCCTTCATCCTCTAATTTTGTCAGTCTGTTGAACAGAACTATTGATTGTGTCGAGTATGATTTGCTCTCTGTAAGCCCATCCTGCTTATTGCTCAGGATTCCATCATCCTCCAGATTTTGATAAATTTCATCTCATTGGGGCTATTTTATTATTTTACTGTTGATATTAGACTTACTGGGCCATCATTTTCAGGTTCATTTTTCTTGCCTTTTGTGAAATGTATAGTTGCTTCCAAATACTTTGAAATTATCTCTCTTTATCATACAGTAGATGCCACAATGATTGAAATTTCAGTATTTGAGACTTACACATTATATTAAGAGCAACTATTACAGAAAAGCCTCATCTTTGAATGCAAACATCATGGGAAATGTAACATATCTTTAATATTTTAGTGACAATTTTTAAAGCCACATTGTTTTATACTGAAATACCATCAGTATATGAAAAACCAGTAAAGAAGGGGACATACTGAAATGAGAGGGAAGGAGGAAAAGAGGGAACAAAGGACAAATGAAATGGTATCTATGTCAGTGTCTTGTCATTTAGAATAAATAGCTCTTCTGTTCAAGGAAAAGATCATTAAGTCCTTCCATCTCAGTTCCACAAACATGCCTATAGTAATACTAGAATAAGAATCAAAATCAAAAGAATAATCTATACTAAGTTTTTATTAGTGCTAGTTTGCAATACATAGTGAACATATTCATCATGGGGAATTGTTATATATGCATGACATCTTCATCTTTTTTACCTTAAATTTAGAAAGGAAAATACTTAATTCAAAAATCAACTTTAGGGCAAATGATTTTGCAAAATATATGTAATTTTAAAGTGGTCTGCATTTCCCAGAAAAAAACCCAAATATATATTCTCTACAATAGTAATAATAGCTAATACTTATTGAATGCCAGAGATATTGTATCCATTTACTCATTTGCTTCTCCTCATAAGCTTATAAGGTAAATGCTGTGCTATGCAGCTTATTTGTAAGTCACAGGAAGCTACGTTTCTTGTAAAATGAAGACAAGGGGTGTGGAGCCTGGGGCTCAGAGCCAGGCAGCCAGCTCTTCAGCATCACCCGTGCCCTGGCTAGTGCAGAAGGGCACAGTTCCTCCTTTCTTCTTTGGACTGCACTTTCCACTGGACTCAGGCTCTGTTCTTGTGCTTGTGCTCGCTTGTTCTGTTCTTTTTTGTTATTTGTTAAACATATGTAAATACATAATGCAAAATATATAAATATGTAAAGATTCGTTGTTTGTTAAACATAATATGCAAACTGAACTTGCTACCTCATGTAAGAGATGTTTGTAAAAAGAAATTTTGTTTAGAAGAAATTGAAAATCCTCTTAGTGGAACAGGTATCCTAATGTAAAATAAAGAATGCAGTGAAACTTTAGCCATTTAAAATTAACAAATGCATTTATGGTATTTATGGAGGAGTAGGAAATGTTGTTTATGGCATTTTAGGGGGAGTAGGGAATGTTAACTACCTGATCTATAGAACAGGTATTCTTAATTAATGTCCAGAGTTGAGAAATCACCTTAATAGGCCCAGTAAAGTAGAAAAGCTAATGTTACATTCTACTCAGTCCTTGTTAGGCATTTTGTATTTTTATTCAGTCATTTGTCCATTTATTCATTTGTTCATTTGACAAATGTGCACAAGAGCCCATTTAATGCCAGTTGGCCACAAGCTATCTACTTCCACGTAATATGGAAAGGATAACAATATACAGCAGATCTATAGTGTATCTAGAACTGACAAAGGAAATTCTAGACATTCTATGGTCAGTGAGCACTACTAGGTCCTTGTAAGAAATTTCTTATTTTTTTTTAACAATTCTAAAGTTTTTTTCTGGAACATATATATCATATCGTGAGTTTTCTATTCCAACCAAAGACATATAACTTAATGGTCAATTATTGATGAAGCATATTAATATTGGCCTGAAGATGGTGATAGTTACAGCAATAAATAATAAGGATTATTCCTTTCTCCTTTTGAGAGTCTTTTACTGGGTTTACAGTATACATAATGCTTGAAAAACAGTTAAGGTCACCATATTTTAGCATTTGTTAATTTTAAATCAATAAAGTTTACTGCATTCTTTATTGTTTTACACAGTAAACTGTTCCTGGGGATTCTACACATGGGGATTTATTTTCTCTTTTTTTATATTTTTGATTTTTTTGAGACAGGGTCTCATATTGTAGTTCAGGCTATTTCTGAACTCACTATGTGGCCTAGGCTGGCCTTGAATTCATGGAGATTCTCCTGCCTCAGCCTTCCAAGTAATGGTATTACAAGGGTGCACAACCACTTCCAGCTAGCATTGGGGATTTAATATGCATTGTATAATTAAATATCTGGCAAAAGCAGCACACTTTTCTTAGAAATAATGTATTCAATGTTGATTACTAACAAGTTGGACTATGAATGAAGAGCTTAATATCAAGATGCAGGACATAATTTTAATAGATTTTTTGTTATAGTGTGCATGCCATAATTTGGTATTTTAAAGTTGGCCTAGAATACTTAGAAAAACTTGGTAGAATTATATAATTATTTAATCAATCCAATCCATTAAAATTGTGCCTAGAACATTAATTAGTAACGTAAGTATAATTTTCTAACTTGAGATTTTAAAGTAATAGTGTTACTGATTTTCATTTTTCTTCTCCACAGGAGTAGAGAACATACATTGGCTTAATTACACTGGTGCAGATAATAAATCATTTTTCAAGATTTTATCATCCTTTGTTATTTTGTTTACAGGAATAAACTTATTAAGACATTTAACTAATCTGTAAGTACAAAGACGCTGAAGCTACTCTTTATGGCTTCCATCTTTTATTCCCTATGTGGAAATGTAAAGTCCTCACAGCTGCTTTAGAGATATAAAGAGCTCCGAGTTGTTTGAGAAAGCTTCAGTGCGCATAGGCAATGTTTAAAGAGGCTTTGGCAAAGTAAAAAGTAAAAAGCTTTTAAAGCAGCTGTAGGGATTCTGTCACTGAGAAATGAGTCCAAGACGGCAATCTACATTGGAAAGCCATGCGACTGGGATCACCAGTTGTTTCCTGAGGTTAGTCTGACAGTTGGGGTGGTCTGGTTATTGTCTGAAAGTCCTTGTTGACTAAGTATTAAATTCAGTGTTGTCTCCAGTCCTTCAAAATACCTTGCTAAATAACTCCAATGGTCCAATTTAAGAGAAAAAAAGTAACTGTAACTTTTCAGTTATATGCATATAGCTAAGGCAATAAAAGCTGATTTCTAAGACATTAGAAGGCCCTTCTAGTCATGAAAGAGAATTAAAATGATGTAAGCATACATTTATTTCAGATTTAAAGTATTTTTTCAATTTGAAGTATTATTTCATTTCTCTCTGAAAATATCATATTATGCATGTATGTAGTTACTAACAATAAGAGAACTGATGTTGGTTTCCTTACCTTAGATTTGTTGAATGTTGTTTTATATCCTGTGCAAGACACTATGGAAGATGTAAATGTCAACAGGCCAAGTCCCTGCCTTCAAAAAGAGTGTATTCACTTTGAGGGAGAAAAGAAATGCATTTTATGAATAATTTATGAAATGCAAGAAACTACAGAAAAATGTAGAGAAGCTTTTTATGCTAGAAAATTCAGATGGCTACACACAAAGATGATTTACAAGGTGTGATCATTTTCTGTGAATATTATAGTAGCAGATGGAAGTGTTGTAGAGAACATGCAGGTGTTGAAAAAAGTCAGAACTTA